TAGTGTGGGTTCTTGAACTCATGCCCTCAAGCATGTGAAGCAATCACTGTATCAACCAAGCTGTTTTCCCAGCTCAGAAAGGATTCTCTGAAGAAGTATTAGTTGAAAACTATAAACCCATAGACTGAGGAAGCATGGTGAACTTGGGGTACAGTGTCAAGAAGGCAGCTGTGCACATGAGCATACAGCTCTGCGATGCAGAGAAACTCCATCACCTGGCGGATGCAGTGCCTATGGCCGCTGTCATGGTAACAGGATCTAAAAGACTGTTTATAGTGTTTATGTCTGCATAAGAGGTTCTGTGTGGGTTCTCAGGCACTCTAGAGAGGTCTAAGGTTTGGATGCTGAGTGGGTGTAGGGCCAGAGTGAGAGAAAATGACTATAGATATTTGAATATTTAACCTCCCCAAATTAATGTGAAAGAGCTACTACTGGATCCTGTATTTTATCCCTGTGATTACTAAAAGAATCTCCTAGAGGGAGGGATGTCTTTCTTTTTAGTATCCTATACCAGGAATTGAAGCTAGGACCTCATGTGTGATGGTCAAGTGCTCTAACGCTGAGCCACAGCCCTCAGAGGTACGGGGTGTGTTTTGGGGGTTCTGTAAACATTTGTGGAGGTTGCACTGCTATGCAAATGCATTGGACTAAGCACTCTCAGAGGGAAAGCTTACGGTGAATGAATTACAGTTCAGCAAGCAATAAATGAATTAAAACATATAAACCTGATAAGAACAAAGACCAGGGGGCTGGAGAGATGGCTCAGTGGTTAAGAGCACGGGCTGTTCTTCCAGGGGTCCTGAGTTCAATTCCCAGCAACCACATGGTGGCTCACAACCATCTGTAATGGGATCTGATGCCCTCTTATGGGGTGTCTGAAGACACTAACAGTTTACTCATATGAATAAAGTAAATAAATCTTTAAAAAAAAAAAGGAACAAAGATTACATTTGGTTACAACCCAGTTAGAATGGCCACTGTCACGGAAAGTACAATTGGTAGTTATGGGAGAAGAGAAACCTGGAGATGAAGGGCAGACATTGGCTTCCTCAGTGCTTGCCACACTGCGGCAATGTCTGTTTGTCAATCTGTAGGGTGGGAGGACGGTCCTATTTCTGCCCTGTGTACTTTTACAAGACCATGGATTTTAGTAAGGAGCCCTGGCTTCGCATGACAGGACGATGCTGAGACGCTAGCTCACTGACATCCTCCAGCCCTGCTCAGCCATTTCAGCCTTACCCTCACACCTTTCTCTCCCCACAGAATTAAGTTCCATAACTGTCTGAAGTTCACAAGTCATTTGAGAGTTTATTTCTTCTCTGGAACAACTCAGGGCAGGCACATGGGCCTGGGTGTGAGCCCTGTGTGTTTGTGTTTGAAAATGAAGAGGCCTGGCCCTCCCACCAGGCATCAGGGTCCAGCTCAGAGAAAGCTTGCAGGAAGTCCAGCCCAGCCACACATGGCAGCCATGAAGACCATGAGAAAATAGCACACGCCATTCCCAGGCATGAGCAGGAAAGGTGTTTGTTATGAAAGGCTTGTGGGGTTTGAGACAGGGTGGGGTACAAGCCCGAGTCTCTTTTCTCCTGCCAAGAGTCACTTTCTAAATGGGACAGGATGATGTAGTCTGTACCTAGGCTGGAGAATGTCGGGCCACTACAGCATTGCTCAGGTCACATGACCTTGCTCGAGTTACCAACTCTCGTACAGTGCCCTGAGTTCTCTGCCTAATGGGTATGTGTGTTTGTGAATGTGACAATGCCTTTGTCATAGGGCAGGTATGTCTGCACACACACACACACACACACACACACACACACACACACATCATGACACCCTAAGTATCTCCACAGTCTCGGCCATGATCTGTAACTGTTCCCCTGTGTGGACTACTGTCCAGCTCTCCCCTGAGGGTTCCCTTGGTCACTGCTGCCACCTCACCCTCTGCTAGCATTCAGTAATCGAGTGAACCATGGTGGGAAGCACCTCCAGGTAGGTCGCATGATTCACAGCTAGGGTAAAGATGGACAGTATTCCCTGGTCAGCCCCGTCAGCCACCGAAGCCCAAGTCAGCAAGTGTGGCTTCTATCTGAGAAGCTAAGGCTTGGCCCCAATGCAAGCTCAAGTTCACAGACTCAGAGAGCCTTTATTGCCAAGAATGGTAGTCTTCCTCATTGGCTTTCAGGGATGGATCCAGCAGCTGTCACCCTCCAGGGGGACTTAGAAAGGACATTGGAAGGATGTCAGGGGTGATATCAGAAGCAGAGGAGGAAGATGTAGTTAAGGTCAAGGGTTTGGAGTGGAGGCTGAGGGTTGGGGTACCACCCTGAGAAGACATGCTAGCTCCCACTGAACTTGAGGTAAGATCTAAAGTTCTTGTCCTGACACTGGCCAAACTGGTCATTCCTTTGACCCCTTCAGTTTCTTCTTCTGTGAAGTGAGTGCAATCACTGCCTCAAGTCTTCAAAGAGTGGTAATGGCTGTGTGGTACCCTGACTTGGCAATCCCTGGGTGCTGAGACAAGGCTCCTGGGATCCTCTTCCTGCCTGTGGCCGACGGCTCACCACTCACCTTCTCCACAGACTCTGAAGGTATTTGTATAGCTCTTATTGAAACGAACAAAACACAGAAGACAGAGTGGCCACACTTCCCAGTAGCCATTTTAAACAAGAGCATGCTCACCCTTGAGCCCACCCAGTCCCCATCCTGTTTTCCCTGGTGGTATTTTTTTCAGTCCCGGATGGCTTATAGGGAAAGCATCAGGGTGGGAGGTTCCCAGAGCCACTGCCACAATCCCCTGCTCTGTGCATCAGCCCCAAGTGCTACCTGGCATCAATCAGAGCAGGAGCCCGGGGAGGGGCAGAGAGGGGGACGTGAGTCTGGGAAGCCCAGCAGATCCATTCGCAGTCACGTGGGGGTTGTAGGAGAGCCTACAACATGGAACCAGAGTCTGCTTCCCTGTGTGTCTATTATTCCCTGGATGGACATTCTGAGTCTTATCAATGGACTTACTTGACCAATCACACTTAGAACACAAGTCAATATGGCTGCATAGACCTCGGGTTCCTACGCTCCCTGAGGATCCCTTCTCAGGGACTCTCTCAGTCTGTCCTGTGACACCGGCTCTGTTCTGATCCTTAAACATAAT